ACAGGACAGAGCGGAGTTTAGGGCTGTTGTACATAGGGTCGCTATGAGTCGCAGGCGACTCGACGGCACATAACAACAACAACATGAGCACAATTAAAAGTATTCTGGGATTCCTGTTCTTCTCAGTATTCCTATATTAGGGGTTATTCAACTTAAATACAATCTGATTTGGTTTTTGTGTTTTCTCTAGGCAAGGAGCAAAAGCCACGAAAGATGAGCTGACAACATCTGCCTTCCTGACTGTTCAGTTGGACCGGTCCCTTGGAGGACAGGCTGTACAGGTTGGGATATTTTTACCCATAAAAACACATATAAGAAAAAACACCACACACACACACACACCCTGCCCAAAAAACTCTCGTTAAGTTTGCTAACCTACTTTTAAATGAAATACAGCACACTAACCTAGTTTCCAGTTAAAGCCCAACTCTCCACCCCAGAGTGGTTTCCTAGAGTGGGAATCTGACCTTTTCTTGAGATTAATTTGCTTTCATTTATTGATACATTTATGTCACACTAAATCTCTGATATTCTGGATCAAAAGAAGTAAGAAAAGTAAATAAAAAGTAACAAGAACAAAATCAATTAATAAAATATTTATAAGCCCAGAAGACTCTTTCCTTTAGAATCATATTGTATGTCAGTCTTAACAATTACTTAACATTAAGACTTATTTTACCTGCATGACCACTTTGTGCTTTTGCTAACCAGTTGTGATAGAATAATTGTCTCAGCCCTAAGATGTCTGCTGTTTAATCGTTAGAACCTTTGAACTGGTTACATGGCAAAGGGGATTAGAGTCGCTAGCCATTTGACCTTAAAATAGAGACTAATCTCCATTTTCTAAGTGGGAACAGCATACTCTCAAGGCTCTTAGTCTCATTTACTGTCATTGAGTCAGAACCAACTCACAGCTGATTTTCCAGTGGTTTTCAGAATCTGCAAATCTCATGAGAAGAGATAGCCCATCTTTTCCCCTCAGAGTAGCTGGCGGATTCAAACCTTGAGCCTTCGGGTTGTCATTTCAGCTCCCTACCCAGTAGGCCACCAGAGTTCAGTACAAATCCCCGTGGATCCTAGTAAAAATAAAAAGTCAGTCAGAGTAACTCCCTGTAATGGAGACTTGGCAGGCTGTTGCTGGCTTTGGCATGATGGAATCCCAAGTCAAGAAATGCAAGGACTGGAAGACACAAGGAAACCGATTTTTCCCTTAGAATCTTCAGAAGGAATGTAGCCTTGCCAACACTTTTATTGTAGCCTACTGAGACTTTTGACTTCCAGAATTTTAAAACACTCTATCCGTGTTGTTTGAAGCCACTATTTTTGTGGTTTGATATAGCAGCAGCAAGTCACTAACACAACACTATGGAACAACACAGATTTATCATTCTAATTAATATGCGAAAAAATTCAGAAAGATATGTTCTTATCATAAGTGTGTAAGTCATCTGTGGCACAGGCCATCTTGATAAGAGAGCATGGATCCTGGTTTCTCTTATTAAAGCATTAGAATTTTGTCTGAAGGCAATGTTTGATCACCCAAAAATGAGTGAAGAAGAGAAAGTCCTCTAGAGATGGAGAGAGGAAAGAAAACAGGAACAAAGGAGAAGAGCTGAAGAAGGAGGCAGAAGAGAGGAGAGGAGGAAATAGATACAGGAGTCCAGACAAGTGACAGGAGGTAGGAAGGGAAGGAGAAAAGGAAGAAAAACCCTGAAGAGAGGAGGAAGGAAAGGGCAGAGAGAAAAAGGAGAGGAAAAAAAAGTAAAGGAATAAGATGGTATGGGAGAGGAAATAAATGGGTCCTTCAGGAATTTATGAAAAATAGCAAAACAATTTGTTGACTTTACTGAATCCAAATTCAAATGACCACTCCACCTAAATATTAATGAGTCAGGTTTCTTTTATGTAGACTGTATGTATGGAGCCCCAGGGAAGTAGTAGTTAAAAGCTGGCTGCTAACCTAAAGCTGGTCAGTTTAAACCCACCAGTCACAGCAAAAAAAGTGTATGACAATCGGCATCTGTAAAGGTCCCTCTGGGTCAGTTCTACTCAGCTGTTAGAGCATCATTATGAGACAGAATTGACTCAGTGGTTTTGGTTAGACACCGTCATAGCCCGTGTGTGTGTGTGTGTGTGTGTGTGTGTGTGTAGAGAGAGAGAAAGTGGATGTGTTAACATGTTGCTTTTTTTAATGATGTTTTTCCAGTGCTGAAGTCTGGCTCTTTGTTAGGGGTTATTTCCAGACTGGTTGTACCCTCATTTCTATATTCTCAAGCTCAACTGCAGCTTTTTTAATATTTATGTTGGGGTATCTACTTATTGTTTTGGAAATGGCCTCAGGAAATTCAGATCTTTACCTATTTACTTTACTTATTTATTTCCTTATTGCATAACGTCAATGTGGACTAAAACCATTAGCTGCTGCATGGGTTCCCTGCTCCTCTGTATCGCCTCCTGTCCCTCCCTCCCTCCCTTCCTCTGTCCTTTTCTTTCTCCTTTTCTCTCTTCCATCCTTGTTTTCTCCCCTCATTCTCTCAACACTTCTCTCCTGTTCTCCTGGTTTGCTCTGTCTAGACGTTATCTTTCCGACTGGTTTGTTAATGGAGTCTCCTGAATCTCCTGGAAGGAACAGCTTTCAGATTAGAGTTTCCATCTGAAAGCATGTGCTTCAACTGGTATGGTGATATTTCTGATAGAACAGCGTTAAACATTCCCTTTGCAAGGAAGTGTCTATTTAACTTCCTCATGCCTGATGTCAAATGAGCTGAGATGCTGTGCGATATACATATTCTTTTGATTTTTTTAAGAAATGTGTGATTCTCTTATGTAAATGTAATAATTAAGTGCTGAGGTAAAACCAATTTAATTTAAGACATTAAATCTAAGATGTGGCAGAATTTGGTTTTCTTAAGCTACTTGTTAAAGTCATGCTGTTACGAGTGGGCAGTCCTTGTTAAATAACCTCATGCTGAAAAAGGCAGAGGGTCAGTGAAAGAAAGGAAGACCTACGACAAGATGGACAGATACAGTGATCATAACAAGGGGCTGGTAGCTTCTGGAGATTGTGAAGATGGCCTAGGAAAGGTTCCTCGTGCTCAACCCCAAGGAGTGAGTTAAGACGATGTCATTTAGTGTTTGATAAGTAAAGATATTACTTGTCAAGGTGTGTAAAAACTTTAAATATGCAGTTTGCCTTATAATTTCCCTAGTTCATAGTACAGTATTTGATATATCCAGTTAATGAAGTTTATTGGCTTGGTGGAAAATGAGATGGTAATTTTTAGCTTTAGTCACTAGGTGGCAGCGGTGTACAACAATAATGCATAAACACAGTCCTGTTGTGTGCCCCTGAGTTGAAACCGACTCATAGCTGACACTCCAGTGGGTTTTCACAAGTAGTAAACAGCAAGGGAGGAGACTGCCCATCCTTCTCCCTGGGGACAGCCAATACATTCAAACTGTGTGCTTTTGGCATTGCAGTTCAGCTTCTTACCTCTGGGCCACCACAGTTTTTAAACATCCTTTTGTATCGCTGTCGGGCCCTTATTTACAGGGTTGCTAACCCAAAGCAGAGCCTCTCTGGCTATTGAAATCCACCCGTAGCTGTGTGGGTGACATATGAGCACATCTTCTTTCCAGTTTACAGCCTTCTAAATCCAATGGGAGATTAGCTATGAGTCGAGTTTGCTAGGTTGTTTATTTATTTATTTATTTATTTATTTATGTATTTTTAATTATTCTAGTTTATTTACTAAGGTGCGCCTGATCCGGGCTATAGTCTTCGCAATTACGTGCTATGCATCAGACAGTTGGACAGTGACTAGGGTAGATAGAAAGAGAATTGATGCCTTTGAGCTGTGGTGCTGGAGAAGAGTGTTGAATATACCATGGACTGCTAGGAGAAAAAACAGGTTTGTCCTGGAGAGGGTTAAGCCAGAATGGTCACTGGAGTCAAGGATTCTGAGGCTTCGTCTGATATTTTGGGCATGTTGCAAGGAGGGACTGGTCCTTGGAGAGGGACATCATGTTTGGCAGAGTGGAGGGGCGGCGAAGGAAAGGAAGACCTTTGGTGAGATGGATCGATTCTGTGACTAGAGAGGTGGGAATAAGTGCGTTTGAGATGGCACGGGATAGAAAAGCATATAGAAGTCTTGTATATAGGGTTGCTATGAGTTGCAAGCAACTCGATGGCACATAACAACAACAACAACAGTTTATTTACAAAATTAGACTACATTGTTTTCCAGAACAGATTCTCCCAATTTCTCTCACCATCCCACCCATCAAATCGTGTAACTCCATGATTAATCCCTTCTCTCCCTGCACTTCCTCATCCCTCTGCTTCCACTGCCACCCCCTACCCCATATCCTTATATTCTTTCTACAATAATGGTTTTATATAATATTTGTCCTTGTGGGACTGAGTTAGTTCACTCAGCATAATGCTTTCCAGTCCCTCCCAAGCTGGGTAATAATTAACAAAATCATTACTCCTGCATGCTATGTAGTATTCCATCATGTGACTATACCATAATTTCTCAATCCATTCGTTTGTAGTTGGACATCTGAACTATTTCCATGTTCTTGCGATTGTGAATAACACTGCTATGAACACTGGTGTACAAGCCTCCATTTGTGACTCAGTTCTCATTTTCTCAGGGTGTATTCCACCCTGGATATCTGGGTCATATGGAATTTCTATGTTGAGCTTTTTTGAGGAAGCACCAAGCTGCCTTCCAGAATGGTTGTACCATTTTACAATCCCACCTACAATGTGTAAGAGTTCTGATCTCGCCACATCCTCTCCAATATTTATTACTTGCTGCCCTGCTAAACTTTGCTAGTTTTTTAAAACGTCTTGGTAATAATGTCTTTCCCCATATGGATTGATGGATACTTTTTTAAAATCTCACTGATATGTTGTTAGGTGTCATAGAGTTGATATGACTCAGAGCAACCCCATGAACCTTGCTCTTCATAGGAAAAACGGTTAAGATTTTAGATTTTCTTGGTTTGAAGAGGAGGCTCTGGCGGTGTGGCCCGCAGGGAGCTGCACTGCTAACCAAAGAGGCGAAGTCTGCTGTTGGAATCCATCCGCTGCTCTTCTGGAGAACACTGGACAGTCTCCCTTTGTGATGGGACAGTCTCCCTTTTGTGATACAATGCTTCAGAATCCGACGGGGTGTCTGTGTGGTAGAACTGACTCACTGGCAGTAAGTTCTTGTTTTCTTTTTAGAAGCAGTTGAATGAGCATCTCCTAATCCTCCGAATTAGATCCCAAACACAAGAGAATCAAGTCCATCCGTAAATATATGTAAATGGTGGTACTCTTGAAAAACGATCCATTTGTATATTAGATGGTGCAGCAGATAGTGCATAATCACTTCCAGCTATTGTTAAGCAGTTAAATTTTACCACTTTTACTCGGATCCACCGGGATTTGCACTGAACTCTGAGGGTCTAGTTTCACAATAGCTGGAAGTGATCTCTAGAGTTCATCAGCACTTTGTTGCTGACGTTCTCTTCTCTTTTGAAGCAACACACAATTACGCTTTCTCTGAAAGGTGTACGGTACTGTAGTGAGGTGACATTTCTGCTACTATTACGGGATGCTGTGTCAGGGCAAGCAGTCCACCGCCCTGGGTCGGCGAGGAAACTCTGCTAAAGCAACATTAACCTCTGCGTTCTAATAGGCATCATTCCTCCTGTTCATGACTAGATTTTTATTTTATTTTTTAAAATAATTAAAAGCACATTTGGAAATACTGCTTTCCTTCATTGCATTACCCTCCTTTATCATCCCATCCCTTCCTACTCCAGACTCGGGTCTCCCAAGGCAAGGAGCCTGCTCACCTGCTGAGTTTGTTCAAAGACAAACCGCTCATTATTTACAAGAACGGGACATCAAAGAAAGGAGGCCAGGCACCTGCTCCCCCCATACGCCTCTTTCAAGTCCGGAGAAACCTGGCATCGATCACCAGAATTGTGGAGGTAACGTCATGAAATCAATAAAACATGTCCTGGCTATGAGCTTCCCAGTGGGCCCGGGCTGTCGACACAAGTATTGGTCTTGGAAAAAAATGGCAAATGAAGTCCCTTCATTCTCTGTAATTCATCCAGTGTCCACAATAACACACACACACACACGCGCGCGCACACACACACACACACACACACACACACACCCTGCTGAACTTAAGAGAGTTGAGTGCAAAGTTAAACGCCAGATACCAGACCTCTTATATTTTTCAACTACATTGAACCCAAACAAATACAATTTAAGGACAATACCACAAATCAAATGGCCAAGGCACACACTTTATCCTGAAAGGTCTGGAGAAGATGGATGGTAGGTAATGGTTAGGGGGGCACACTGGGGAGATCTGAGAGGAAAGGGCTTTGTTTGTACAAGTGTGACAAATGGGGGTAGCGGCCTTTGCCACAGTGAACCACTACCATAACTCAAATGGCCAATTTCCAACAGCAGCTGTGGAAGAAATCACACCCATGTCTCGGTACTCTTCGACAGGATCTCCAGGATTCTAAGGAGCTGAGTAGATTGGCCTCTAGGATGACCCATTCACCCCTCATCTATCTGAGTCACCATCAAAATCTGAATCTCCTAAGTCACCCCAAAGTGTCTTGTTAATTATGCATATCTCCAATCTTGGATACACTTTCAAACCCATTCTAGTCCTTAAAACTAGGCCCATCAAAAAAAAAAAACAAAAAACAAAACTAGGCCCATCACACATCTCTCCATCCTCAATCTCTTCTCTGAAATCCCTTCATATTTACATTCTTTTTCTGCTATCCCCTGAAGACACATGCTTCCAACAGGTTTTCTAAGAGGAGGTTGTTTCTCTCCAACACTACCCTCCCTCAGCGCCTCAGGGATGATGTGTCAGGCACTCCCCTTGTCCTCCCTTGGCCTTGGCCTCTCTCCTCTTTTTTAGGCTCTCCTTACCCTCTCGTTCAGCCATCTACCAAGCTGCTCATCATCTTATTCTTCATTATAGATTCAGTATTTGTCTGTCTCCATCACTCTGACTTCTACATTTCTTGCCTTGCTCTCATGGACCAGCCTCTGACCCATTTCAACTCATATTTACATGGTTCTAATAATAATAGCAGCTCAGAAATCTCTATCTCAAATACCAAGTCTCTGATAACAGCCTCCTATCACCTGATTCCTTGCTTCTGATATCTACATTTCAGCAATCCTTAGCTGCTGGGCCTCCCTCAGTCCATGAAAACTCATCCACATCCTTCTTTCTCCAGAATCCCCAAGGCTCCCTTCTCTCTTATAATAACTTTCATTCCTTGGAATGAAACAGAATACACAAGCACTTCCTCACTTGCTCCTCTCTGGTTTCATGAGTTTGACTGACTGACTCTATACATAAAGGGTTTGCCTTTCTCTTTTGTTTTAATGAAAGAGCTTTTCATCTGTTTGCAGTGCTTCTCCCTATTTTCTTAGAGGTTCTCCAGCCTGGTTTCTGAAAGGCTATTCAAACACTGTTGTCTAAGATTTTTTTTTTATTCAACTCCTAGAGGCTACGGCTCTGTGGGCGTCATGGTTTAGAACAATCTCCTTGGGCTCACCAGTCTGGGGGTAGACTGCATGTTACCTGTCTCTCCGTCATCACAGTTTCCACACTATATCAATAAAGTGACATTAGGTTTAGCAATCAGAATTCCTGAAAGTCCTATTTTGTTCCCATAATTTTCCATCATAGTATGTGCATGAATTTCTTTAGTTTATTTATTAAGCGTCATTTCTTCTACGAAGAGAAACTTCATAATCACTGTGACCACTTGCCCGAGCGTTCTCAACAACAGGTCGACCTACCTGTAAGATTTCTGACCGTTGCTCCTTCCTCTCCAACATTCTCTCTGGAGAAGCATCCTAATAAAATCCTACTCCTGGTTATTCGTTCATCCTGGCAGCTCACCCTTGTTAACCAGCCAGCACCCTCCAGCACAGCCAGTAAGTCTTTCCTTATTGAATCAATTCCTGCACTTGGCCTCAGGAGCACCATGTCCTCTTGATGTCTTCCTTCTCAGCTGCTCTTGCTCCAAATTTCACAGGCTCTTCATCTCCCTGTCATTATTCCACCATCATTTGGAGCCCCATGCACAGACAGTCACAGGCACACAATCACAGTGTCAGACAGAAGCCCTCACTGAGTCAGAGGAGCCCGTCCTGGGATCCTCACCCTTATCATCAAGCTGGAGACTCTGTACCTTCATGGCCCTTGCTCACAGCTTCCACTTTCACCTTTGCCCTTAAAAACCTGGACTCTGGATGCAACAAGGCCCCTCGCACTCTTCGACAGCAAGTTTGACCAGAATTGTGTTCACCTCAGTGTCCAAGATTGCCCTTGGAGAGGGTTCACAGCTTCTGAGCTGAAGGCTGGAAATATATCGATGCTATGATTTTAATTCCCTACAAATAATGTTTTATAATTTGAGATATAGTTTACCCAATCTGGATAACTTTACTTAGTGAATTGATAATATTATTTCTTTGTCTATTATAGTCCCTTGTTAAAAATATTAATTGTTTTTAGATTTCTCTTTATTTGATGTCTTGCCATGGGATCAGAAATATTATCTTTTATTATCTGTGTCATCTATGAGTACTCTGTGCTTGTCTCCAAACAATTATAGCTCATCTTTGTTCTTAGGGTATTTTTAAATATCATTTTTGTTGTTTTTAAAAATTTCAATTCACTATCACTTAATTTTGTCTAATTTTATTCTGAGAATTTTGTGCTACCATCTCAAGCAGTTGAGTACTGAAGTAAAAAGATAAAAATACTCCAATTAAACCTTTTTAGTGATTTTATAAGATTCTGTATAACATGGGAGAGAGTCTAGAGAGCATTATGCTGAATGAAAAAAACTCCTTCGCATAGGGACAAATTCTTCATAAGACCATAATTGTGAAAATAGGAGGATAAATGAGCAAGATATGGGTAAATGTTCAAAAGGAGAGAGAAGGGAAGCAAGCAAAAAAAAAAAGGGAAGAAGGCGGGGGAAATCACTGGGATTTTTCCTATTTTACCCATTAACTTACCAGAGGTTGAGTGAGGCAGTGAATGCAGTGAAGGAATGGAAAGGGATCAATGGGGACTTCAAAGATGGGGTAATAGTAGACTAAAACAATGGTAATCAGTGATATAAAATATAATGTATATGAACGGTCTTATAAAATACAATGTACATGAATGAAATAATATATATGACTGATTGTATAAAAGACAATGTACATGTACAAAACATGGTGTATATGAATGCTTGTTGGCAGACCAATGAAAAATTTTAAATAAACAAAAACTCTTTTGAGCACCATGTTCATGTCCCAGTGTTGCCCATGCTAATTTTCTGCAATCAGGAGATAGGGCTCTGATGGTTTGTCTCTGATTGTCATGGTTTCTGGAATGTATTTAATGGGACCAGGTGATGAATTTGAATCATTATGTTATTTTCTTTTCTTGTACGCTAGGTTGATGTTGATGCAAATTCACTGAATTCCAATGATGTTTTTGTCCTGAAACTGCAACAAAACAGTGGCTATACCTGGATAGGAAGAGGTGCTACCCAGGAAGAGGAGAAAGGCGCAGTGCACGTGGCGAATGTCCTCAAGTGCAAAACCACACGGATTCAGGAAGGAGAGGAGCCAGGTGTGTGTTATGATGTCAGAAGAACAAGCCACACGTTCTTTTGTGTGATTACAGTCACATGATTTGTTTTTTCACAGATAGTAACTTTTTAGGGAGCTTGGTGGGTAGCCTAGTAGGTAAAGAGTTGTGCTGCCAACCCAAAGTTACACGGTTTGAATCCACCACCTACTTCATGGGAGAAAGATGAGCAGTCTCATCTCATGCAATTTACAGCCTCTGAAAACCTGTTGGAGGTTCAGTTATGAGTAGGTTCTGACTCGACTGCCCACGTCAACAACATCAACAACTTTTTAATGGTTATAGGGGACTAAGAAGTTGCAAAGTGGTTAACAGCACCTGAATATCTTTAACCTCTTAAAATCACTTAAAGTCAAGGTGAGGTAATACTTTTTGAGGACATAAAGCAGTATAATCATATGCTTCTGAAAAACTCATTGCATAACTCAGTGTTTTTTCGTCAGAGGAATTTTGGAGTTCTCTTGGAGGGAAAAAAGATTATCAGACTTCACCTCTGCTAGAAACCCAGGCTGAAGACCACCCTCCTAGACTTTATGGTTGCTCGAACAAAACTGGAAGGTTCATTGTAAGTATCTTGAACAATAGTGGGATAGAATCTAAGCCCTGGGGGGGTTCCAGCTATGTTACCGCTCTGAATCTCAGATTTACCTTTTCTGCAAACCAGAGATAATAAAGTGAGTGCATAGTAAGGTGGTGAAGGGTGCAGGGTTGGGTGAAGTTTCCACTTGTTATATGTAGAGTTACCATGAATTGGAGCTGGCTCAATAACACCTAACAGCAGCACAACAAACTTTACACAGAATAGGTAGAACAGTCAATGACACAATGTGAAAACATGGTTGTGACTGTTACTTTCCATAAAATCAATTTTAACTCATGGTGATCCATAGGGTTTTTGAGAGTTTTTTGTTTATTCAAATAATGTTTGGGGTTTGGGGTTTTTTTACCATGTTGGTGAAAATTTACCTAGCAAATTAGGCTCTCATTTAACAGTTGATGAATTTATTGTTTAAAACTTGGTTATATTTCCAAAGTGCATCATTTTACCATTTTTTACATTCTGGTTGTTCCGCTCTCATTAAGCACATTAATTAGCTTTTCTATCTTTTGTCTATCTTTTCATTTTTGCTTTGTTGTTACATACTGTTGAGTCATTTGCATCATAGTGACCCAATGCACAATAGCTTGGAACCCTACCCTACCCTGAGCCCATCTCACTGTCTCTGACACACCTGTCACCATTACCTCAGTCATGGAGTCAATCCATCTCTTCCAACATCTTCCTCTCCTGTGCTGTCCTTCAACCCTTTGAAACATGATATCATTACCCAAGAACTGACCAGTCCCTCGAAGCCCAAAGTATATGAGATGGAGCTTCAAAATCCTTGCCTCCAAGGAGCAACTTGGTTTCACCTTTTCTAGGGCACACCTGTTTGTTCTCATGTAGATTAATTTTAAATGAGCATAGTACTGACACTTGATAATGCTTATTTTTAGGAGTTAGTTATTTAGTGGAAGACTGTCATTAGGAAATGGAAGACTGTCATTAGGAAATGGTTTCAGAGGCTACTCTATCTAGTCTTTCTCTATTCACAGTCTTTTCAGGCTGTGATGTTTCCCAAGCATCCTGGCTTCTGAGGTGCTTTTGGATGGATTTGAACCACCAGCTTGAGCACTTAATTGTTTGCACCACCTGGGGGAATTCCTGTGAAAGCAATTACAGGGTGCTGTAATATACTATCTAAATCAAGCTGCTCTTAGAAATATTAGCTCCTAACATTTCATACTTGTGCCAGCTTGTGATAGGCATTTTATATATGAAGATGTATACAATAGCTAATTTAGTAATTTGATCCTTTCTTTTTATGGGAAAATTCTTAATTTCTTAAGAATTATATTTGATTTCAAATGATACAATTTTTATCCTTCAATTTTCCCAGAGGAATACAAAATATTCCTGAATTTAAAAATATTATGGAATATTATTATCATTGGGAAAAATCACAGGAAGCTACAACTATACCTGCAAATTAACTGAAATCAACTGGAATGTCTTGTAATCATTCACAAACTGTGAATTCCAGCCAATTTGAGATTATAGCATCTGTGTTTAAGAATTATTTTAGATTAAGTTCTGGGTTATCATCATGAATTGTAGTTCCTCTCCCCAACTCTGGTGGCCTTGTAGTAAGAAGCTGTGCTGCAATAAGAAAGGCATGAGGTTCAAATCCACCAAAATCCACCAGCTACTCCATGGCAGAAGGATGGGCAATCTCCTCCTGTATGATTTACTGCCTCTGAAAACCCCCTGGAGAGTCTGTTATGAGTCAGTTCTGACTCAGTGGCACACAACAGCTGTTTAATATGTTTGGCTTTTATGTAACTTTTTATTTGAAGGATGAATTCCTTTTCTCTCTACAGTTTGGCATATGGGTTTATTCAAAATAGTCTGGTGAATAGAAGTTCTATTTTTCAAAATACACACATACAACAAAAATCTCTATGTATATCTCATGAAACAATATTAGAAAGAGAAGCCTTTGAAGAATAAACTGTTAGGTACAGCCCCTTGAAATTATTATTAGATATGAAACTGTACTTTAATAATAGAGACGGAGAAATGGTTGATCATTGGACACTACTTTGACTGATCTAGTCCCCTACTTTGCATGAAATCCCAGCACTTGTATTTTCTAAGATTATTATCAGAGAAAAATCTGTTATTTTAGTGTTTTAATTGTTCACTTGTTATAGCTGAAAACTTTTTAGCATATGCTTTTATTCTTATTAATATTATTTACTAATATTACCATAAATTAAATGTTTGCATTGATAATGTCTTTTAAAAACATTAAAAGTAACTAGACTGCTGTCAGATTTTCTAAAAAGCCTATTAATCTTTATTAACTTATTTTTTCGGTTGCTGTGATGCTAAACCCTGTGACACTGATGTGTCAAATATGATAAGTCACCCATGGTGGACAGTATTTGGTGGAGCTCCCAGATTAAGACAGACTTGGAAGCAGGAATGGCATCCACTTCTGAAGTAGCTTGCCTCCGGAAACTCTACGAGCTTAGAGAAATGATGACAGTTATACAAGTATTCAGGTCTTCTGTTCATAAGATTGCTATGGGTCATCTACAGTGCAACAGTACTTAATAACAACTACATACATTAGCCTATAAGAGAAATGTTTTCTTTATGTCTATCCCTGTTTTTATTATGATATTTGGAATTATTAAATAAACTGAGATTATTAGATGCTTGACATTAGAACAATGCATGGTACAGAGTAGATGATATTTTGATTTCTATAAATCATTATATAATTGGTAAGTGTTCTGGAATAAGACAGTATAATCTGATTCCTTTCCATCTGTAAATTGCCAGGTTTTTTGTGTAGTTATGATCAGGATTGTATACCTTTTGGGACTGGGCTTATTAGACTTTGAGTGTGGATTTAATTAGGGTGGTTTCAGCTGGGAGACATGATTTCATGCCTGTTTTCCCCCTCTTATGGAAATAAATGGGCAGTCTCCTGTGTAATTTACAGCCTCTGAAAACCCTCTGGAGGGCCACCTGTGAGTTGGTTCTGATTTGATAGCTGAGTTGTTATTTTTCTATGATTGGGTCCAGGAGCGCTAGAAGGCCCCTCTGAATTACATTTGCTAATAATATGTAGTCAATGCATGTCACTCGGCTGAGGAAGAGAGTGAAGAAGTGGAAATCATAGTTTAGTTGATCACACCTTCCTGAAGACAAACCCCCTCACTTCTATCAAGTTCAAGCTCTGACTCATAGCAATCATCAATTTCTAAGACTCTACATCTTGGGGGGAGGGATGGGTGGGGAGAGAAGTGCAGCAATGAATGAATGGAAACCCAAAATCTCTGTAAATGCTCATTAAAATTATTTTTTTTTAGAAAAAGACTCTACATCTTAAGGGAGGAAACTTTTCATCTTTCTCCCAATGAGGATTTGTTGGATTCAGACCACTGGCCTTATGTGTATCATATAACTCACTGTGCCACCAGAGCTTCTTTCTTGAAGATTAGAATTTTAATCTTCTTATAATTCTGTGACAATACTAAACTCAGGTTAACAAATACCCACTGGTATTGGAAGGAGTAAACCTTTTGAATTTAACTGGAGAACACATTTTATCCATTAAAAAGACAATAATTATTTTTGTATGTGTGGAATATTTTATCATTTCATTGACAATGATATTATAACACAAAAGTAATTTGATAAAATTATCTTGATTGCTGATTCCATTAAAATAATCTTGACCTATAAAGTTAAAGAGAGTTTAATACCAAAGCTATAAACTCTTCCTGTCTTTTTAGGTACTAGGCATACAACATAATTTGAGAAACAACTTTTCTTATCAAATGGATATCGAGACAAGTGTGGTCAGCTTGATAACATATGCCCTAATGGACAAGCATTCAGACTTTATGTTTTGAGTATTGACTACTATTATTGAAGCCAATGCCAACTCATCAGGACACATGAGCAGGATGAAAACTTCCCATAGGGCTTCTGAGGTTACAAATCTATACAGAAGCAGATTGCCTCATCTTTTTCTCATGGAGCAGCTGGTGTATTTGAACCATCAACTTGCTGGTTAGCTGCTAAATGCTTTGGACATCATGCCATCAGGGCTCTTAATATTAAGCACAGTACTTGCCCGATTAAACTAAGTCTTTAAACCATCAATTGTAACACTTATTCAAATAGATGGACAGTAGTTTAAATTTTTGTGAATTCAAAGACAAGGCAAAAATGACTACCACATTTAATTTTAAATAAACTTTAAAAGAATGTATGTTTAACTCTAAAGCTTCTTAATGTATTTCAGATTGAGGAGGTCCCAGGGGAATTCACCCAGGATGATCTAGCCGAAGATGATGTCATGTTACTAGATGCTTGGGAACAGGTATAACTATATTTTACTCATAACAAGAAAGTGTTCTTCTGATTGAGAGTTGACTATGACCTACTTGGAAAAAAGTAAATAGCATGTCTAATGAAAAAATGGCACGTCTAATGCTAAATGATGGGAGAGGAATGAGCGATACCTCCCTTGTGATTAACTGCCCCTGAAAACCCACTGGAGGGTCAGCTATGGGTCGGTTCTGACTCAAAAGCACACAATACAACAACAACATAATAAATGATCTAGAGATTTAGATTTTTTATAAAAAAAAGCCTCAGTGCAGTTTGGGCAAAAATGAATGAGTACCTATGGAAAGTTAGTTTCTAAATGAGCAAACAATCTTATTACAACTGTTTTTGATACTAAATTTTTAGGCAAAAAATCCTGCCTGCCTATTTGTTTGTTTAAACATCACTCCTCCATTTGTTTATACATACTTATAATGTTATTAAAAATAACATTAGTTACTTAACTAATAAATGCATCAAGTGACTTCTGGGTAGAATGCAACATCTAGAAATTCTCTTGAAATTTAAAAAGAACACTTAGAGAAAAATATCTTCCTTAAGGAAGAGAAAAATAATATTTTATATATAATAGTACTGCATTTTAATATATAATTTAATTTACAAATTATGTTATCTTTTGAAGAAAAGTAATGATGATTTAACAGGTCGAATCTGATAATCTTCCCTCCCCCTTAACGTCTATATAAACTAATAATTGTCAGAGGAAAAAAAAGTTAAAAACCAAGTTACAAAAAACAATGATGAGACATTTATCTGCATGAAACCTAATGCTGGAGATGATCACAGAGGCTGGTATATTGACGTTTATTTATGGCTCCAGGCCATTTTGTTATGTGATTCGTCAACATTTCCTTTTAAAGCAGTCTTTGACTTGGACATGCAATCAAAATGAGGCATTTCTAAATGGAAGATTTAAAAATGCATTCAGTAAGAGAACTTTGTTTATTTAAGAATTAGAATATTTCCACATTTAGAGTCTTTATCCCTATTTGTAATAAATTCTGTAATTCCCATAATCACAGAGAGTTGAGAATATTTCTCATCTTACATTTCACTTTTTTAGTCACATTTCTGCTTGCCTTGCCGTGCTGCTTTAGTTTGTTCTCTGCCCTCTGAGCAAATATTCCACCTTTTTCAGTGTGAATTTGAATGCAAACAGAGTGTAGTTTAACCAGAATTGCTCAAACAATGGCATTGAGATTGACACATAGATAATTTGGGAAGCATGTTCAGAATTAAGGCACCCAGCTCACATATTTGGCAAGGTAAATAATGCATAGAGAATACATCATTAGATCAATTTTGAAAGGTTATCTGTTTAAATACTAAATATCACAGTATTTTTTCCCAGGTGTGGCAGGATTACAATACTACACAGCAGGTAAAATAGCAGGTAAATTCAGAGGACTGGAGAGGACTTACGGTCACCCATAAACAGGCTCTGGGTATAGATGTGGCAACTCTTAAGCCTCCATCCTCACTAGGAGATACTAATGACCATCTTAAACATTCCCAGGGAATTAATTAAAAAAAAATAGTGTTTTGTGGTCTTGTTGTGAAAGACTGCTGTATAGAGTCTAAAATATGAGAGTATAAAATAGGAATGAAACTGCTAGAATTTAACTGAATGTTCCTGTTTGTTTTCTTTTCTTTTGGGGGCAAGTGAATGGACTTCTCTGACCTTCTCTCTCCATATGCCTTACTCCAAGGATTGCTGTGTAGAGTAACTGAGCTGTGCGTGTGTGTGTGTGTGTGTGTGTGTGTGTGTGTGTGTGTGTGTGAAGAATTTTGCATAGTTGGCCATAGCACTGAGTCAACACTCCCAAAACTGTACATGTTGTTGTTACTGTTGTAATTTTGTTTTTCAGATATTTATTTGGATCGGCAAAGATGCCAATGAAGTTGAGCGAACAGAGTCTCTGAAGTCTGGTAAGCTATAAGCTGTGGACCAGCCACTAAGCCTGAGTGCTATGACAGAGTCCCTGACTGGGTTGTTCGAAGGGTTGCTATGAGTAGCAGTTGACTCAACAACATCTAACAACAAACTGCAAAAATATATATCACTTATACCTGACCCTCTAGTGGGTTTTCAATGGCTGTAAATCACATGGAAGGGGATTGCCCACTTTCTCCCTCGGAACAATTGGTAGATTCAAACTGCATGCCTTTGGGAGGGCAGTACAGCTCCTTACCAGTAGACTATCAGAGCTCACTTAACAACAAACTGCAAAAATACACAGTAAAACTGAGGAATATGTCTCTTTTGTCCTCAGAACTAAAGAGCAATGGATTCCCTGCTCCCTTAAATGGAAAGATTATACAATGAGGAAAAGCCAAATAAACTTAAGTAACAACATTGTGGTGTACGTTGAGTCGGAACCCACCCACAGCTGACCCTCCAGCACGTTTTCAGAGGCAGTTAATTGTATGGGAGGGCATTGTCCATCCTTCTCCCTTGGAGCAGGTGGTGGATTTGAACCACATGTCTTTAGAATTGCAACTCAGCTTCTTCCCCTTAGATCACTAGAGCTCCCTAAATAACAGTAGTTAAAATAATGTGCTACTTAGTCACTTTGGAAAAATTTAAATTTGCATAAACTTTGTTTCATTATGGGGATAGTAAAATCTTCATAGGGCTTTAACATAGCAAAAATCTCCTTAAGGAGCTCTGGTAGCCATAAGAAGCTGCACTGCAATCTCAAAGTATGTGGTTCAAATCCACCAGCTTCTTTTCCAGAAGAAGGATGGGCATTCTCCTCGCATGTCATTTTACTGCTTCTTAAAACCCAGTGGAGGTTCAGCTATGGATCAGTTCTGACTCATACACAACAACAAAATCTCCATAGATGTGATAACCTAGAGTTTTCAATTTCCTTTGAGCAATGCTTTTCTTTGTAGTACTGTTTTTGTATTAAGAAAGATAAGGATAATGATGTCATGAGATAGTTCCATGAAGGATGGAGTTCTTTCAAGCCATAATGAAACTTCCCAATGTACTTTCTGTGAAAGCAGAGAATGATCAATATGAAATTGTTCATGTGGAGTAGTATCTGGTTGCTTGAGGCAATGGAAATTTATAATTTTTATTAGAAGAATTCTCACTGTATAATTGTTTTCATTTAATTTAAACTAAATTAATTTGTGTGTCTTTGGCACATTTGCAGCAAAAACATACCTTGAAACGGACCCTTCTGGAAGAGACAAGAGGACACCGATTGTTATCATCAAACAGGGCCATGAGCCTCCCACCTTCACAGGCTGGTTCCTGGCCTGGGACTCCAGCAAGTGGTAAAATGGATTTACATGGAGAAATTTAAATAAGGATAGCTGTTCTAGGAAAAAAAGAATTCTATTTGTATTTGGAAAATTAATCTCAACCATATATTTTTTAATTGCCTGATATTGGTTTACCAAAAAAAACCCAACCAATCCCAACAACAACAACCAAAAAAACCAAAAACAAAATAAAACAAAACAAAACCACAAAACCCCACCTGTTTAAATTGGAGTTTTATAGTATCAATTTATTAAAATAAACATTCATTATAGGGCAATATTAGCTCTTCTGGAAACCTATTTCTATCCTTTTATACGACCATTTGGAAATGAAAGCTTTGTGTGATGAGAGAAATCATCCCGTAGGAAATGTATGACTCAGTAGCCATTAGCCAAATTTGTACTTTTCAAGTGCCAGAGAGGAAACTCATAATGACTTTATTATTATTATTATTCTCTTTCCTATGTATAATGTTAAAAAATATTTTATATTTTCAGTTAAGATTTATGTGAAGATTGCTTTAAAAGTTTATTGTTTGCCTTCTTGAATCTAAGCAGTTTTTAATACTATTAAATCTTCAGTGCCTTTTTTAAGAGAAACTCTACTTTTTTTCCTTTTTAAAAGTCTGAAAGCATATCACTTTTATGAAAAAAATATTTGTATTCTTACTCATAATCATATACATGACAGTGAATATGTTTACTATCACAAAGAAATACACAGGAAAACTTTTCTAATGCCATGTTTTATCATTAAAATACATTACGCTGAAAAGGTTTTGTGTTGTGATATTTTATTCAAATCTGATAGATGAGTCAATTATAATTTTAATTTTTAGATTAAATCCTTTCATGTATAAGTAAATAAATACAATTTTCCCATGATTAGGTGATTATGAAGTATTTCATAGAACTTATGAAATCAGGACCTCATCACACAGGAGTTGGGACAGTGTCTGGAACTGTAATAAATTAGATAATAGCTTTGTTTTCATTGACATGACTGATTGAAACAGAAAAGCTACATTTTTGTTCTTTGAAAGAGGATGCTGGCCAGGAAAACTATTGGTGGAATTCTCAACTTTCTCTGGGGGAATGACGGGCCTCTGTTTTTCAGGTTAGGTCTTGACATAGAGACGTTCTCTCTGTTCCATGACTTAAAGGTGAATTGTCTTGCGTACGACCCAAGGCTTCTTTGATTCATAAGAAACTCATGAGAGGCTGCTCAAAGGGACTAATCATTCCTTGAATAATGGAGTATAGGCACTGTTCTAGGCACTGTGATTCCAACATGAATGAAACATGAAATGCCAGCTAGCACTGTGTTCACGAGCCAAGGCAGTGGCCAACCAAATAAAAATCCAAGGGGAGCTCTGGTGGCCTAGTCGCAAGCAGCTGAACTGCAATATCAGAGATGTGCAGTTTGAATCCACCGGATGCTTTCCCGGAAAAGGAGGGGCAATCTCCTCCTGTACCAGTTAGATCCGATTTGATGGTACACACACACACACACATACACACAAAATCATCATCATCATCATCATCATCCACGAGTTAATGTTGTTGTTCTTGCAATGTTCTGTCAAGTTGTTTGTGACTCTTGGCGACCCTATGTACAACAGCCCTAAACCCTGCTCTGTCCTGTGCCAATCACACTGTTTCCGATACACTCATTCCAATTACCCCAGTCACTGAATCAATCCACCTCATAGATAGTCTTCCCCTCTTGTGCTGTCCCTCCACCCTCCCAAGCATGATGTCCCTCTCCACAGACCAGGTCTTTACAACATATCCAAAGTATGTCAGATGAAGCCTCCGAATCCTTGCCTCCAAGGAGCCAACCCGGTTTAACCCTTTCCAGGACAAATCTGTTTGTTTTCCTAGCAGTCCGTGGTACCCTCAATACTCTTCTCCAGCACCACAGCTCAAAGGCATCAATTCTCCTTCTATCCTCCTTGGTCATTGTCCAACTCTCTGATGCATAACAAGTGATTGCAAATACAATGACCTATAACAGACGCACCTTAGTCTCCAGAGTGATACCACTGCTCTTCAGTACTTTGGAGAGGTCCCTAAGAGCAGACTTTGCTATCGCAATACATCTCTTAATTTCCTGGCTGCTGGTGCCAACCAAGTGTGTTGACTATGGAGCTAACCAAACTAAAGCTGTGAACAATCTCAATCTCTTCACCATCCATGCTGCCAATTGGTCCAGTGGTGAGAATCTTTGTCTTCTTGACATTGAGTCTCAATCCATATTCTACAGTCCTTGACCCTCTGCAGCAAGCACTTCAGGTCCTCCTCAGTTTCAGCAAGCAGGGTTGTGTCATCTGCATAAAACAGATTGTTGATAGATCTTCCACCAATCCTGATGCCACATTTCTCCTTACAGAGCCCAGTCTCTCGGATAATATGTTCTGCATACAGGTTGAAAAGATATGGAGAAAGGACACATCCCTGGTGTACACCCTTCCCAATTTTGAACCATGCAGTGTTACCCTGCTCTGTTCTAACGACTGCCTCTCGGTCCAAGTATGGGTTTCAAATTAGCACAATCAAACGTTCTGGGATTCCCATTCTTCTCAGAGTCAGCCACAATTTGTTATCATCCACACAGTCAAATGGCTTTGCATAATCAATGAAACACAGGTAGACATTCCTCTGGTATTCCCTGCTTTCGGCTAAGATCCATCTAACATTAGCTACAATATCCCTAGTGCTGTGACCCCTTCTAAACCCAGCCTGTACTTCTGGCAGTTCTCTGCTGATGTGCTGTTCTAGTCATTTTTGGATAATCATTAGCAGAATCTTGCTTGCATGTGAAATTAATGATATTGTTCTATAGTTTCCACACTCTGTTGGGTCACCCATCCCATGAGTTCATACATAATAAAGCGTATAGAAAGTCACTTCTACAGAGAGAAGTATGTAGGGAAGGAGGGTGGGAATACAAGGAGAATGATAGGATGTGAAACTTTAATAAGTGAACAAGAAATTCTTTCTTGAGTTGTAGTTGTTAGGTGCTATGAAGTTCAGTATAACTCATAATGACACTGTAGTCAACAGATCTGAACCCTATCCTATACCATCCTCATAATTTCTGATACACGTGAACCCACTGCTGTACTCACTATGTCAGTTCATCTGATTAAGGGTCTTTTCCTTTTTTACTGGCCCTCTACCTTTCCAAGCATGATGTCCTTTTCCAAGAAACAGCCTCTGCTAGCAACATGCCCAAGGTATGTGAGATGAAGCTTTGCCATCCTTACTTCCAAGGAGCATGTCAGCTGCACTTTTCCTAAGACATCTGTTTATTCATCAGAGAGCTGGACAGTGACTAAGGATGACAAAAGAAGAATCTCTACCTTTGAGTTGTGGTGCTGGAGAAGAGTCTTGAATATACCACAGACAACCAAGAAAATAAATAGTTTTGTCTGAGAGAGGGTAAAACCCACTTTATCCTTAGATATTAGGATTTAGAAGCTCTGCCTCACATACTTTGGGCATGTAGCCAGGAGGGACCAGTTCTTGGAGAAGGATCTCATGTTTGGAAGGGCAGAGGGTCAGTGAAAAAAGGAAAAGAAGACAACGACCCTGGATGATATGGATTGACACAGTAATTGGAGCAATGGCAGTAGGTGTATTGGCATCAGTGAGACTGGCTCAGGACAGGGCAGGCTTCAGTGCTGCTGTACGTAGTGTCGTTATGGGTTGCAGGTGACTCGATGGAACATAACAACAACAACAACATTTGTTTATTCCTTTCCAGCTCATGGGATATTCAATACTCTTGTCCAAGTCTCAGATGCATACCAAGTGACAGAAAAGACCATGCCCAGAATCATGTGCACCTTAGTCTTTAAACTGACATCATTACACCTCAGTGATTTGGAGAGGTCCCTGACAACAAACTTTCCCAATGCAATACATCTGATCTCCTGCTGGTACCAAGGGTGTTGATTGTGGACCCAAGTAAGATGAAGTTGTTGACAATTTCATTCTTTTCTCCATCTATCACGATGTTGCTAATTGCTTCTGTGGTAAGGATTTTTGTCTTCTTGATGTTGAGGTGTGGAGAGTGTGAGCATGGTGGACAGTGTGAGCATGGTGGGGAGTGTGAGCATGGTGGGGAGTGTGAGCAGGGTGGAGAGTGTGAGCAGGGTGGAGAGTGTGAGCAGGGTGGATAATGTGAGAATGGTGGAGAGTGTGAACACTGTAGAGAAAGTGAGCAGGGTGGAGAGTGTGAGCATTATCTTTGATCTTCTGCAGTAAGTGTTTCAAATCCTCCTCACTTTAAGAAAGCGAGGTTGTGTCATCTGCATAATGCTGGTTGTTGCTGAGTCATCCTCTGATCTTGATGCCACATTCTTCTTCATAGAGTCCAGCTTCTCAGATGGTTGGCTCAGCATATAGATTGAATGGGTATGGAGATAGGGTACAACACTCCCCTTCTCAACAAACTAACAAATAAGAATAATTTCCATTTCCACTCTGGCACACAAAATGAGGACTTTTGTTGAGGTAATGCAGCTTAAAGACAGTCCTGCTGTTGCTCAGTGCTGTTGAGCAGACTATGACTCATAGTGACCTTATGAACAAGAGCCTTGAACTTGGCTCTATCCTGTGACATGCTCACAATCTCCATCATGTTCAAGCCCATTTTTGCCAGAATTTGACTAGTTTATATATGGATACTTGGTCTGTCCTTGGATAGATGTTTGGGCGATATGGAAAGCAACTGTCAAGGACCTCTTCGAAGTACTGAGGTGCAAGGATGTCCATTTAAACACTAAGATACATCCGATCCAAACCATAGTATTTTCAGTTACTATTTTTAATTTGGCTGAAAGCAGGGAATACCAGAGGAATGTCTACCTGTGTTTCACTGACTATGCAAAGGCATTTGACTGTGTAGATCATAACAAACTATGGCTGACTCTGAGAAGAATGGGAATCCCAGAACACTTGATCATTCTAATGCGAAACTTATACTTGGACCAGGAGGCAGTCGTCAGAACAGA